GTTTGATAAAATCGGTTTATTTTTTTGTTCCAGGGATGAACCGGCTTTTTTTTTATGCTGGGGAACAAAAAAAAAATCAAAAAATTTCTGCTTTTCTAATTCTGGGCACAAAAAGAGAATCAGTTTTCTCTCACACTCTCGCCCACTCACTGACTATGGCAGCGTACCAGAACAACCCCTTTTGAATGGTTATTCTGTCTCCCACTTGGTATTCGTCCCTCTGGTCTTCTTTTGGTCCTACGTTTTTTCTATCTCTCTTGTTTTCTCCGTCTGTTCTCAAGGCGTGTGGTGACCTTTTGGTTTATGAATTGGGTAGGAAGGTTCATGCTTTGGTGTTGGTTGATGGGTTGGAGTCAGATATTTATGTGGGCAATTCTCTCCTTTCAATGTATTCTATGTTTGGTGATATGGGAACTGCCAGGATGCTGTTTGATAAAATGCCTGTGAGGAATTTAACTTCTTGGAACACTGTTTCCTAATGAAGTAACTGTTATTGCTGTTTTTGCAGGTTTATGGGTACCCATTTTGGACAGAAATTGAGTTACCTAGGTAATCCTTTTCGTTCACCGTGAATTGCCCGATGTTGTTATTGGTAAACAATTCCAAACCTGCAATTTCTTGTAATATAGCAACCCAATACCCAATGAAATTCTAATTCTCAGAATGAAAAAAGAAATTGTGTTAACAAACGTAATTCTAATTCTCGGAGGAAAAATAAAATATGTTAACAAAAGTAATTCTAATTCTCAGAACTTTCCAAAGCACAGAAATAGAAAAAAATCATTTTTTTCAGAAACAGTGTCATAAATTAGAATGGTTGTCATGCGCAGCCTAATAAAACTACCAGAAGGTTATTCTTATAATTTATTTTAATTTATAACTTCTTATAATTACATCTTAATCGTTTATTTTTGTCAATTAATAATTATTATTTTTATAAATTAAACCCGTTAATTAATTATTATTATACAATAAATAATAATCATTTATTGATGGAAATCAACAATAAAACATTATTGTAAACCAAAATAGGTTCTAATTTCTCTTAAAACCATTATTATTAAAGAACTATTAATAAGTCACTAGGGTTAGTCCAATGATGATTGTATATTCAACTTCTCATTCTATATAAAAGGAAAAAGAACTAACCCCCAAGGGTAGCTCAGTTGGCAGCTGAGCTCTCAAGGGATTGCTTGGTGCAGGGATCAAACCCTGTCTCAAGTGCACCCACTGTTACAATGAGAGGCTAGCCCAAACGAGCCGTACCCTGAAGGCATGGTGCCCGAAGAAAGTTGAATGAGGATACCTCCTGACAATGTACCAAAAAAAAAAAAAAAAAAGGAAAAAGAGGAAGCGCTTGCAAACTCAAAGGAAGTTATTAGAATTTTCATTCAAGTCACTCCACAGTGCATTATTATGATATCTCTCTCTAGTCCATGTGATCAATTAATTGTTGCCTTGTTTCACCAAAAATAATAATTAATTGTTGCTTGTGCATACAACTCTTCACTCTTCTCTGCCACACATGCCTTGCCTTGCTCATGTTATTTTCGTTCCAAACATCACCGGAAAAAATCTAATAGGTACATCCGATAAATAGGAATGCGTTCAGTTAACTACAATTGTTTTGGAGAAAACATAAATAAATAACTTTTATATTTTATATTATATACTACCACGTCAGCTACAATTATTTTGAAAAGAAAAAAAATAAATTTTATACTTTATATTATATATTATTAGTAATACATAATTTTTTGTACTACAACTTTATCGAAGATGCGCTCACATCGCAGCGACCGGATTGTCCTTTGTTTCCAATCTTGGTTTATTTTTCTTGTACTCCCTATGTCAGCCATCACAGTTTTATTATTTAATTACATGTGTTAGAGGCATGCGTTGCAGTGGTAACTTGTATCCCTATTTTTGATTATTTTGAATGTGAACGAGGCAATTTTTTCAGGTAATTACGTGGCTTTTGTACTAAATTTGTTTTTTATTAACTTCATTTCTCCAAATAATTATCTTTTTCTTATAATTCTTAAAGTTCTCTTCAATTTTTTAATATAAAAATTGATTTTTTAAAATCGACTTAGTACCTGTTTACCATATCTTATTTTTAGATTTTTTTTCTTAAAAGCTAAAATTTAAAAACTTTTATCATAAAAGAGCTTTTTGTTATAATGAAAAAAAGGAAAAAGTTAAAAGCACTCAGGATAAGTTTTTTTTAAAAATATACGACTTTTTTTTTTTGAAATTCTCATATTTATTTCACAGTTTTATTCTTATAATAAATTTGTATTTATACCCTAATGATTTATTCCACTGACAAATCGTTTCATCCCCTCTCTCTAAAATCTTTAAAAGTAACTTTTTTTATACATAAAAATAACTTTTTTTATACATAAAAATAACTTTATATAATCATTAAATAACTGTTATCTTTATTTTTGACTTTAGCTTAAAAAAAATGTGCCAAACAAACTGTTAGGAAAAAATGACCTTCTAATATAAAAAACAAAAGAATATTTTGGAAATTATAGCAAAAGATAGATATATTAAGAATTAAAGTTATCTTTATTTATTATTGGCAAAAACATTAAGTTATCTTTGTTTATTAAAAGAGAAATCCGTAGGAAGGAAGTGAGCTGCATTGAAGAATGTTGCAGCGAAGATAAAAATGTTGATGTGGTGAAAAAATTACAATTAATGTTTTCCCTTCTGAGTTCAATTTTGTTTGCCATGTTTTTGTTGTTGTGAAGGAATATTGATATATTATTATGAATAGCGTTTTATTTTTATTTTTAATTTTGTTGGTATGTAATTGCTTGTAGGGTGCTAAATGAGGCAGGGGCCTTTGGCTCGACTCGCGAAGGCCTGAGCTTACATGTCAAAAATTGATTGTTGGACCAATGCTTGGATTTGTATAAAAGCTCGTTTAATAAAAAGGCCTCAGGCTCCAATTCAAAAGCTCGGTCTTAGAGCCTCTCAGGCTTGCCTGATATATATATATATATATATATATATATATTATACTACTTGTGATAACATACTCTTTCTTCTCAATTCATTTCATCCCATTTTATTAATTAAACAGACTTTTTAAATGCTTTTATTTTATATTATGCTATTTGGATATATATTAAATTTATGAATATTTATGAAATTACTAGTGCTGTTGATTATAGATTTTGTTTGGGTAAATTTTTGTTGTCTTATTTTTTTAAAATAGTCTAACAAGCTAAACCATGCTTTTATTTTTTGTAAATGAGTCAGGCCACAGACTGATATTATATTCGTAACAGGTAACAGGCTAAGGCCAGTCTGACACATTTGAACACAGACTCAGCCCGTTAAGGCCAAAGCTCGGCTCAGCTCGTTAACACCTCTATTTTTTTTTTGGCTACTTAATTGGTTTTTTGTTTTTGCTAAAAATTTGTTTTTGTTGATCATGGTTTATGAAGGACTTATCTTTTCATTCATTTGATGTTGACATGTTGTGATTAAAGGCTTGAAGATTTCTTGATCGACTGTTGTAATTTTTATGTTGTTGTTTTTATTATTTTTAATGTTGATATTATTTTTCTAGTTATGCAACTATGACAAGATAAGGTTGAAAGGAATATTTATATAAAATCTTACTGTAACTTTCCATTAAATAATAACTCCAATCGTTGTCCGATGCGTCAGTTTCAATTTCCATTCGCGTACTTTATTTTACCAAAACATTTTTTTTTCTATTTCGAAGAAAAAATTGAAGAAAAAAAACTCATGTTTTGAACGAATTAGACAATTTCATCCTCGTCAATGATGAAATTATTGCTTTTTCTCTCCTGCATACGCATTATCCGCATAACTTTTCCTTTTGATCAAGAATATTTCTCCGAAGCATGATTATGTCTGATTTGATCGATAATTAATCATACGAAGCCATCAAAATTGACATTGATGGCTACTTAGAAACTAAGGCTAGATATCAAGTTATCTACTATCTCACAACTTTTTAGTGTATGGTTCTCATGTCATGACTCATGAAATTTTTTGGCTTCTATTGGACACTAATCTTCAAGTATCCAATCCTCAAAGAAACAGTACACTGTAATTGCCCTCGGATAAAAGGCATATACAGGTGTCAGCAATAACTAGCCAAATTGTTTTAAGTTGTCCACACTACTACACTAGACACAGGAGGAACATGCATGAATCAGTAATCACACTTACAAACAGTACTGACAAGAAAATAAAATACGACAGAAAAAAGTGTTTCTGATTTTAAATGACAGAAAGTTATGTCATTTTAAGAGAGATTCAGACATAGAAAATTTAAATTTTAAATTAAAAAAAATCACTCACTTTCTCTCTTTCATGATTTCTGTTTTTTTATGTGTTATCTCTCTCTTAAAATGATATAACTTATGTCATCTAAAATAACAAACACCAAACCTTTAAAAAAATAATCATAATAAGTTTTTTTTTTATAAAAAGTATGTATATTTTACAAGAGGCAATTTTATTCAGAATTAATCCAAAATTAAAATTTTAATTTTTTTTCAAAAAATAATATTAAAGAGATCAAATAGTTACTCTCAACCTCATATAAGGAAGTTTATTTATCTTCTTACGACGTCAACGTCTATATAAAAAAAAATTGTTGGTTTTGAGGTGTTTTTAAAGGAAAGAAAGAAAGAAAGTATCATTTTCCAATAAAAATGTCAGTTAGCAGAAACACAATACGACCTCCTGCTCTGCATAGCTGACAACTATGAAGTCATGCACATAACTTAAACTGAGTTTTGAAATTTAAGACCCTCTGTCCTTTCTCTCTCTCTCTCTCACTCTGTGTTGCCACCACTACACTCCAGACCTCACACTATACACACCACATTACACCTCCATAGTGTTCCATACTAACTAGTAATTGCAATAACATTAAAACCGCTCTCTCTCTCTCTCTCAGTTCTTTTTCTAGACTCTGCAAATTTCTAGGGGGCCAAAAAACCCATTTTTATCATCTTTTGCATTGAGAAAAAACCTTTCACCCTCACTGCAATCTGCATCTTCACCACTCTTCTTTCTTCATCGTCACTAACCCAGAAAAATCCACCAAAACCCAGAAAAGCTCAAAACTTGAAGAGCATACACATGGCTCATGATACACAGAGCAAAAAGCCTTGACACAGAACGACTCTCAGCTTGATATCAGCAAGCCCCAAATGCACTCAGAGTCTCCTTAACCATCAAATGAGTTTGAGTTGCTTCATCTCTTGTTGGGGGGTGAATGGGTTGCATGGTGTCTCAGCTAGCTGCGAAATTCGCCTTCTTTCCACCGTCTCCACCCACTTACCAGCTCAAGAAGCGGGATGACGGCAAGTTCACGGTGGTGTCGACGGCGTCTCCGTCGGCGCCGATTCCTCACGCCGAGGACAGCTCCTTGGATGTTCTGCTGGTTGATACAAAGCATGGAAACAAGATTGTGGCTTTTTATCTGAGGAACCCTTATGCACGCCTCACTCTTCTTTACTCTCATGGCAATGCTGCTGACCTGGGTCAGCTCTATGATCTCTTTGTGCAACTCAAGGTCAATCTTAGAGTTAATCTCATGGGGTTAGTGGTTTTCTGTTACTTCTTCAAAATAATCATAAAATTAAAAATTAAAAATTAATCTTCGGTTTTTTTTTTCTTTTTCTTTTCTTTCCTTCTTCTTCTGTTGTTTTTGTCTTTGTGTGTTCACGTTTTGCTTCATTGAATCTCACGAGGTTCAAAGACCTCACGTTACCACTGACCCTTGTTTTGTATTATCTTGGCGTTTTTACTCCCTCTCTCCTCTTTTCTCTATATAATGTGTTTTTTTTATTGGGTCATAGTGGGTTTTGTCTAGCATAGATCTGGAATTAAGTGTATCACTGCTTTGGTTTACATTTTTTGATGACTTATCCTCGTGTGTTTTTTGAGATCTGGTGGGTGGTGAGTGAGTGTATCAGAAATGCTAATTTCCATGCCTTTTACTAAATCTTTTCAATCAAAGTTGAAAGTAAATGAAGATGAGTTTTTCAACACCTGAGCCCCCAAACAAACAAACAAACAAACAAAACATAAGAAAAAGTAAAAGTACAAAGGAAAAAAAATAAAAATAGCTTGCATTTATTTTATGGTTCCTTCTTGGTAGTCCGTAACAATTTTTCCCTGACCTCTCTTTGTCCTCCGTTTAACTGTCTTTCTCCTCTGTAAAAATTGCTCGAGTTTTTACCTCTACATGGATGGGGACGTACCATAGTGTTTTCTTGGTATTTTGTGCTGCTGGAGCCCGGGGCTGCTCTGTGAAAGTTTTTTTTTTTTTTGGCCCCCTCCTTCCAACATTGCTTTCCTTCTGTTTCAAAATTAAAATTAATAAAAAATAATTGGCGTTTTTCGTACTTTGCACTTTTAAAATGCTGTCATAGTTATCTATATATAAATATTCAGGCATGATTATTTATTGGGAGTTGATATTCACCTTATTTTTTAAAGACTCTTTAACATTTGTAGTACACAGTCGAGTCATATTTGCTTCAGAAGTTTCATTGGAATGTATGATTGATTACTGGGTCTTGAACTTTACTTAAAAGAGTGAGTACATATGTTGGCCCTTATATGGTTGAGTTTACATCAATTTAGTTTACCAATTGAATTTTCCACTCTATGAATTTGACTCAATTCAGCCCATAAAGGGACTTGATTGAATTGAATTTGGAGATTTATGTCATTAATTAATGTAAATGTTTTTTGAAGGATTAAATTGATTTTACTTCAATCTATTGGGGCCTCAACATTTCTGGACTAAAGTTCAATGTTGATATTTTTCTGCGAAATTTTATTTGCAGATATGACTACTCTGGATATGGGGCCTCTACTGGCAAGGTAGGCTATTCTTTGACAACTATTACATTAGTTAGTTCTGTTATATTGACGGACCGCACACATGCACACAAAGAGAGAAGCACAATTCTGTTTTGTTGCAAGGGTAGCTTCTGAACATGGTAGGATACCATATATCACTTTCTATTCTTTGCTCTGCGATGCAGCAGAAGGATTGTGATTTCATTTTTTGTTGTTGCTTTCATTTAATTGTTTGGTTTCTTCATTTTGTCTGGAAGTGATTTTTCTAGACGGAAGGAGGGTATTTGATTGTGTGTCTGAAGTATAAAACAATAGGATGCATGATAGATTGATAGTGGTGTCCTCTGCTTCTCAGGAATAAATCCATCCACACTGTACCTTGGAGGGGAAACGAGATTCCAAGGACACTGGCTATTTATAGTTAGCCAATTGAGAAGCATTTTTACTAGTTATTTTTCTGATGATAATAATGGTGAAATATTGATAATGGTGTCTGTGCTCATATATTAGCACTAGTAGGCTGGAAATTAAGATAGATTTTATGGTACCTTAAAATATATAATATCCTTGGAAAAGAAGTGTGTGTAACCACATGGATTAGTGCAATACAATGACCATGGTGCTAAATTTCTGACCAGTGTGATGTCATTTTGCATTTTCTTTACTTTTGTGTATTAACATGGAAATGGAAGATGCAAAGACTGCTTGACTTTCTTGTTCCGTTTGTAATGAGGCGTGTCTAATTAGAAATAAATGGTAGTTTTCTTTATCAGAAATTCTGTGAATGCCATGCTATTGATATATAATAACAATATTTTCAAATTATACAGCCTAGTGAATCCAGCACATATGCTGACATAGAGGCAATATATGAATGCCTTGAAACTGAATATGGAGTTTGCCAGGAAGACATAATCTTGTATGGGCAATCAGTTGGAAGTGGACCAACACTGCACTTGGCAGCTAAGTTGCCAAGGTTGAGAGGCGTGGTTCTACACAGTGGCATTCTTTCTGGTCTTCGAGTGCTCTGTCATGTGAAGTTCACATTTTGCTGTGACATTTATCAGGTAATGTATATATATGAAGACTATTGGTTAAAAAGGAAAGTCTATAGCTTACACTTGAGTACAAGGTCAGAATACTAAATAAAATGAAGGTAATCTGACATCAATGTATTTATAATAACTGAAGCATGACACAAATGTTCTGATTTGTTGAAATTTGGCAACAAAATACGGGAAGTGACAATGGTGACTATATACTTTTGTAAATGTATAATGGCTTATTTTTACCAAAATATTATATCAACTAAAACATTAATGGTAAACTGTTTAATCTACTCAAATCTAACCTCTTCATGGATTTTTTAACAAAATTGAAGAAGACTCAATATTTAAGATCTCTTTCAGTGGTTTAACTGATACTTTATTGATGACTCATTAAAAAGACCTTCAATTTAATTTTGCACCATTAGCTTACAAAATGCCTGTTTGTAAAATTATATTTTTGGTTCAAACAAAAACAAAAATCTTTTTGTCTTGTTTTTTGAGTGATGGAAAACAAATTTAATAACAAGAGTGATTCTCTGTTTAATATGCCATTTTATTTACTTAAATTATTATAGTTTGTTTTCTGTATCAAATGATCTAATTGTAATTTTTTATTCTAAACCATGCAGAACATCAACAAAATAAAGAAGGTCAAGTGCCCTGTACTAGTAATACATGTAAGTTTATGATGCACTGTAATCATACTGCTTTGCCTCTTTACTTATGTTTCTGTTGACATTTAAGCAAGTAATAGACAAAGTGCATAATGATTCTCTAGTTTTGGAGCTTCTCATCATACAAGGATAAAGCACACTACCCATCTTCCTGTTGGAACTCCATGGTCATAAATAACTGGAGTAGCTAATGCAGTATTCCAATATATCTTAGGAAAAGAAAAGAGAAAAGTGGGAGTGGGGACGGGGTAATCCCTTCACTAATGATATTTAATTCTAATTAAGATGGTTACGACTGAAGTAAACTTGTACTTTGACTGCTGTGTATTATTAAAAGATGATCGTTTGAAACAGTTATGTCCCAAACATGAACAAGTAACAACTACATCATTTCAGGGAGATTAGCTTAACCCGGGTTCAGGATTTATTGACTTTTGCTATTGTTCTCCTGACCTTGAATGTTTTGTTGAAAAATTGTGTCATGTTTAATCATAAGCTATCATTTGCTTCTACAATCAAACAGTTTTGATGGTAATTTTTCCAACTTGGATCCGGATTACATTTACCTGGCTTTATTTACTGTAATTAGCTTGAACTTTAATTATGCTGCTACTATGGAAAATAAGCATTTTGAAAACAGATGGAGAATGCCTGGGTAGGGTAGTCATTTTTATTGACTAGTTAAACGGAAGCTTCATTGATTTGTAAATATTTGGTTGATATACTTTCCTGGAGCTCTCTGTCGCCTTTTTTTATGTCTGTTAATTAACTTTGCAAAACTAAATATTCAGCTTCAATTGCATATCAGGATTACATGATAGACCCTTGTTTCCTAAATTTTCCCATCCATCTCGTAAATTCTCATTGAACATCAACATACATGCTAAAATCACTTTTTCACTATATTCAATGAGCATATTCATCTGTCATCTGTTAATTGTTTTTTTTTCCGTCCACAGAAAAAAAGATTTTTATTTATTAACCAAACATATGGTTAAATATTCTAGATTCTCCTCAAATGAACTCTGAACACCCCCTTCTCCCCCAACACACACACATATAGATTTAATGCTTAAACCTTCATCTTGCATTAGAAATTTCCTGGGATCATAATATTGTGATGGATCTGCTAAATTGTTTTGCAGGGTACTGAAGACGATGTTGTCAATTGGTTACATGGAAATGGACTGTGGAAAATGGCAAGGGAGTCATATGACCCTTTATGGATTAAAGGGGGTGGTCACTGCAACTTGGAGCTTTACCCTGATTACATACGCCATCTTTGCAAATTTATCCAAGAAATGGAGAGTATGACAACTGAAAAGCGCCTAAAAAAGATTCGGCAAACTGTGAACCTGCGATCAAAGTCAAGCACTGGTTCCACCTGCAGATGCTGTAAAATGATGTGTTGTAGATTCAAGTGTCCTGAATGCTCTAATTGCAGCTGCATAAATTGTTCCTGGTCTCTCAAATGTCCTGAATGCTGCTGGAAACCTAGCTGCATAAAGTGTTGCAACTTGCCCAAGTTCCCAAATTGTTTTGGATCAAGCTGCTGCATAAAGTGTGGCAACTTGCCCAAGTTCCCAAATTGTTTTGGATCAAGCTGCTGCACAAAATGCTCAAGGCCTAGCTGTTGTCCAAAATGTTCATTGCCTAGCTGTTACCCCAAGTGTGCAAGACCAACTTGCTGCATGAAGTGTTTCTGTTGGGAATGTTGTGTGGGAAAACACAGTGGCAAAGATGGAAAACAGAATGGGTAAATGGTCATAACATGCTTGTATAGATGGGCCAGTCATGCTAACACACCCTTGAATATTGTGCAGTGGTGTACAAACAGGAGGAAGTAGTGGGTGACAATTGTAGGAAAGTGATATGAGCTTGTGTCCTCTATTTTTTTTTTTTTTTTTTGGGTTTATCTTAAGTTTCTTAAGCTCTATTGGAATTTTTTACTCATAAACATTGGTGTTTAAATTAACTTTCCTGGCATTTGATGAATGACATCATTTTGTCTTCCCATTTTGTAGCCTTATAAAGTTTTTGCAGTGCTTCTGTCACCATATTAGTCTTTTCAGTCATCTCCCCTTACCATTTTTAGCTTTTGTTTTTTTGTGTGAATACCTAATGTTTTCAAAAGTCTATTGCTCAGAAAATTCCAGAATAGATGTTCTTATCGATTACCTTTTTGTAAGTTAAGTATTCTTACTCTTTGATTTTGTGTCTTGCCCTTTGTATCTTTCTCTTTGGAAGATAGTTCTTTTAATTGTTTATATTATTATTTAGGGGCAGATTATATTTACAAATTTTTTTGTTTACAAACTCTTACAAATTACACTATGTAAGACCGGTCCTACGTTAATCACACAGTGTACGGCTGGTCCTACATTAGTGTAATTGCAAAAAAAGTTTGTAAACGGATCGTGTCCCTATTATTTAATATACATTCTTTTTACGCAAGAGACTGATTAAAAGGCTAGTTAGAAGGATGTGAAAGGGAGACTTTTTGATTATTGAAGAATGATAATATAGCAGAAAACTTCTGTATTTTTCTGAAAGCCTATTTTCCATATAATTTTGCATCATTTGGTATTAGAGCTCAGGTTGCTTAAAGATGGCTGAGCAGGAAAATCGCGGAGATCGTGGTCGTGGACGAAGAGGTCGTGGCGGCAGACACGGTCAACCTACCGATGGTGATTATTATACTGATGTGAGAGATGCTGAAATTGAGGAAAAGGACAGACAAATCCAAGAACTCGAACAACCTCTTGCAGAGGCACAGTTGCACGAGTCAGAAGAAGAATGAGAATCTGAAAGATCATCTCATGAGGAGGAAAGGAGATTATGGAACCGGAACCAGGAGCGATGAGGACGAAGTCAACCTGGAAATCAATCCTTTTTTGCTAATATTGAGGTGAATATTGAGATCCCGGAATTCGAAGGCACCACTCATCCAGATGAGTTTATCGACGGGTCACACACCGTCGAAAAGGTCTTTGACATCATAGACTTGACAGAAGACCTGAAGGTCCCAATCTATGATGAATATGATGAAGAGCAAGATGATGAGAATCCTGTTATGGATGCTCCAATTTATGACAACTTCCCTATCTATGATAAGTATGATTGGGAGCAAGACGACGAGAATCCAGAGGTGAAAGAAATCTCTTGTAGTGATTTCGATGGGAAGTCAGTTATTAGAAATTCTAATATCTCTGACAAAGATGAAGTTCTACCCAAAGATATCATGCAGAATGATCCTTCATCCAAGAAGTCTTTAGTTTGCAAGCAGTATTATGAATTTGGGGACAACGAGCATAACAACCTTATGCTCCATGGAGATAAAGATTTAGCTTTTGGTAAAAGTTTAATTGGAGATCGTCAAGGGCAATGAGACTTGCTGGTACATCAGACAAAGTTTTCCTATGACGGATCACAGATGCAATCATTGATCCAAACTACAAATGAATATACCAAGCATGTCAAAGAATTGCATTTCCAAGTCCTAATCTTAATTAGGAAATTTGGTGATATTGTACCAGAAGAGTTGTCGCCTGGATTACCACCTGAAGACGTTGCAGATTCGAGGGCGAATCTTTTCCTAGTGGGAGAGGATGATGCACTTAAGTCACCATAAATTGTTATAATTGCAGACGTTTCAGTTTTAAAGCTTTTTATGAATTTTAATAATTGCAGACGTTTCAGTTTGCATGACTTTATGTTTTGTTTATGGTTATTTCCATTTTGTATCAGTTTTTAAGACCATTGATGGTCTTTTGTTGTCGGTTACTTTTTGTATTGCCTGATTAAAAGGCTTGTTAGAAGGATGTGAAAGGGAGACTTTTTGATTATTGAAGAATGATAATATAGCAGAAAATTTCTGCATTTTCCTGAAAGCCTATTTTCCATATAATTTTGCATCAGAAACAAAAATCAAAAACAAAGAAACATATTGCCGAAAAATACCATTAATCTGTGAGTTTATAGTAGGAAAGACACAAGAAAACATACATAAAAAAAAGGAAGAAAGAAAAAGCGGAGGTGAGAAGAAATAAAAATAAAATAATAGACCGGAAAGAGAAAGAACCCAAAAATAACCAAGAAATAAGGAGCCCATAAATAACCAAGAACACTACCCACATGCGACGCTCACAAGCAAGATGTCCCCCAAACAGTGATGAGACAACCGACGGGGGCTGGAGACAGCGACACAAAGAGTCAGATCATGAAAGAAAATAGCATATATGGAAAAGAAAAATAAAAAATAAAAAATAAAAGAAATTGAGAAACTGCAAAAAAAGAAGAAAACATAGAGATGGGCATAGAGAGACCAGAGAACTCAAATGGAATAGGCAGGGAAAAAAAATAAAAAATAGAAATAGAGGGGAGAAAAAGAATTTATGGCAGCGAAAATCTCTCATAGAGGGTGATATCTCTTTATTACCATATTATAATTATGGAAAACAAAAATAAGGGAAGGCAGATTAAGATTTCTCTCGTTGGGCTCTAGATACTATATAAAGAACCACTTCAACCCAAAATCCCAAAATCTTAAAGTGTTAGGTGATAATCTTTTTAATGATTTATATTATTCTATAACACCTTTATTAAATCATTGCACCAGATGGTAAACCTTCGTCCTCACCAAACAAGAAAAGGAGGAGGAGAACAACAGGGGACTTGGATTATAATTAGGAGTGCTAAACAAACCAGGGGCCTTTGGCTCGGCTCGTGAAGGCTTGAGCTTACATGTATAAAATTGGTTGTTGGCACCAGGCTTGAACTTGTATAAAAGTTCGTTTAATAAAAAGGCCTCATGCTCCAATTCAAAAGCTCGGCCTTAGAGCCTTTCAGGCTGGCCTTGTATATTATTTTATATTTTTATTTTATATTTTTTATACTACTTGTAATAGTCATCTCTTTCTCCTCACTCTATTTCACCCTATTTTATTGGTTAGACAGACTTTTTGAATGATTTTGTTCTATATTATGCTGTTTGGATATACATTGAATTTATGAATATTTATGAAATTACTAGTGTTGTTGATTGTATATTCTATTTGACTAAATTTTTGTTTTCTTATTTTTTTTAAACAGGCTAAACCAGGCTTTTATTTTTTGTAAATAATCCAAGTCACATGCCGATAATTATATTTATAACAAGTAACAGGCTGACATATTTAAACACATGCTTAGCCTTTTAAGACCAAAGCTCGGCTCGGCTCTGCCCGTTTACAACCCTAATTATAATGATCACAAGTTTATTTATTTATTTTTTACATATATAAATTCAAATATATATTTTTTATATTCTTGCACTTGTATATTAATTCTTTAAAAAAATTAAAATATTATTTTTTGATTGAAACTGAAAAAGTCAAAAAATTATATAAATAAAGTAATTGACTTGTGTGTGCATATTATTTTTCTTTAAAAACATCAAACATAGTCCGTCAGCACTCTTATTGAATATACCTACATGTGCAAGTGGGCTCATTCATCTAAAAGACCACTTCCAGTTTTTGCTCGGTCCATTAGCCTATTGTATCTATTTCAAAGTAGAATGTGAAAACGACTAAAATAAATTATTTTAAATAATCATGGTTTTTGTAAATTAGAGTAACTAAATTATAAGTTGTTTAAAATTAGGCTTTTTCCCTGTATGGATTAAATCTTCTAGTTTAACCCATCAACTACGGGAGTAAGGTTTGGTAGCCCATTCGACTGAACAAATCAGCCTCGTTTGTTTAATGTGAAACCATTTTGACAATCCAAGTTCAAATGATAGATGCAGCAGGTTTTTGAATGAATCAGAAAGAGAAAAGTTCTAGTCCTTATAATCAAAGAGTTGCCATAATATAAAGTATAAACCTTTGTCCTACACTCAAGTGACATTTTATATTAACTTTATACCACAATTATCATGTGTGTCATTTAACCTCCAACTAGCTGATTGAATAGAATCTGCATGATATTTTCGTTGTACCAAAAGGAAATAAGCATCCGAGGAAATGTTTGAATTTTGTTTTTAAAAATAGTTTTTTGATTTTAAAAAAATAAAAAATAAAAAAACCAGTTTGATAAAAATAATTCTAAAAAGTATAATTATTTTTTAATTTTTAGAATCAAATTTAGAGAACATATTTGAGTTATTTTTGTTTTGTATTTTAATTTTTAATTTTTTAAAAAAAATATAGAAAATACTTATTTCATTAACTATTCGAGAAAATAGTTTTAAGAATAAAAACAACATAACACAGTCTAACAAGACTCCAAGTGATTGTGCCAGGTCCCATCTTTCCGGCATCTAACTGAAAAAAATATTATATATTCTGAAATATTGGTCTATAATAATATGACATCTGATATAGAAGTTGAATTAATTGTTGTCACATTAAAAACAAAAACAAAAACAAATCAAATACAATACTCGTAAGGCGTGTGAAAATTTGGCCTCTTAACACTTCTCCAAGACTCTTCCAGTCTTCCTCTCTCTTTCATGCCTTTTTTTCATGCCTTTAATTTGTTTCCGTGCCTCTTCTCTCAGATTTTTCATGCCTTTTTTTTCATTTCCTTTTGTGTTCAGAATTCAGATTGATAGAAATGTGTCCGATGCACGAACAAAACTCAAGGGCATGCCTCGGAATTAGAATTGACATCTAAATTGGGCCGGATGTTGATGGGCCAAGCCCTTGGAAAGTAAAATAACTCCAGGGAAATATATAATAAGAATTCCGTTAACAACTGTTTTGGAATAAACTAATTCACAAATTATACCCAATTGTATTCAAGGTTTTATCCAAACAAAAAGTTTAAGTAAAGGGGAAAAATGTTTCTGCAGATAAGTTATCTACATTTATTTTCAAAACGACGCCGTTTTGGTATTGAAATCTTAAAAGATCATAAATATA